AAAAAAAAAAAAAAAAAAAAAAAAAAAAACACACACCAAAAAAACCATAAAAACCCAAGGAAGATAACTGGGAAGGAAAAGGATTTTCATGGCGCAGGCTGCAGAGCTAAGCAAGAAGACTGAAGGTTGCATCTCTGCTCTTACAGTCTCTAACTGTCTAGGTCCAGATAATGAGAGATTGTGTTGAGGATGCTGCTGCTGCTCCCCTGTTCACTGTGGAAGCCATCTCCAAATTAGCCATTACATATGGAAACTGGAGACCAGAATTTTAGAAAAAGGGATTAAGGCGTCTCGTTTTGGGGGGGGTTTCTCTTTATTTGTTTGGTTTTTCTTGGTTCTTTTCTCTCTCTTTTTTTTTTTTCTTTTTCCTTTTTCCTTTTTTATATTTTAACCAGAACGTTTCCAATTTAAAAGGCAAGCCTCTTCCCGTGTGGTCTTTCTAATTTACACTCTTTTCCGTGGGCTTTCTTACCTCCCTTTTTTGATATCTATCTCTCTATATATACCCATTATATTATTAGTCGGATTTATTATTCTTTTATTTTATTAAACACACACACCCCAAGAATCAGAAGGCGGTTGGGTATTTGTATAATGAAGAATTATGGGGCTCTTTGACAGAGGTGTTCAGATGCTTTTAACCACCGTTGGTGCTTTCGCTGCCTTCAGCCTGATGACCATAGCTGTGGGGACCGACTACTGGCTTTACTCCAGAGGGGTTTGCAAGACTAAAACTGTCAGTGAGAACGAAACCAGCAAAAAGAACGAGGAAGTCATGACCCATTCTGGATTATGGAGAACCTGCTGCCTGGAAGGTATTTGATTCTGGATGTGTGTGTGTTTGTGTCCTTCCCTCTCCCACCACCTCATATTTCTCCCCCCCTCCAAATAAATCCCTCCACATTCCACCATTTTCTCACTTCATTCCTTTCACCATGGATTGAGAGTGGTGTGCTCAGTTACTTAGGGCACAGAGGCAAGAAGACAAGCAAACCCTTCTCTGCTCCATTCTCTTCTCCATTCCTCTTCCTCATGCTCCCCCCTGCTCCTTCCCCAAAAATTCACTTCCCCCTCTAACTGGAATAATGTGTGTGTTGTTACAAAAACAACTTTCAAAAAACAACTGTGCAGTCTGCCTGTCTTCAGATTGTTTGTATTGTCTGAGAAAGCAATGGCAAAATGCTGTGTTATTGCTGTGCTCCAGCTGTAACCACAGAGTGAAATAGTTGCTCTCTTTGCAAATGGCTTATTTGCAAAGACAAGACTGGGAGTGAGAGGCTATGTGTGGAGGGGGTGACTGCAAAGCACTTTGGATGCAATTTATTAGTTCACTTCAGGAGGGAAAAAGAGAGAAAGGGAAGCAACCCTGTTATGTCCAAAATGCCTCCTACAGTAAATGTAATGATTCCAGTCATCTCAAGCAGAGTTCAGAGCATTTCATAATGTCTATAAGCAACCACATCTCACTGGGCTGGGTGCAGAGGGGTCTGGTTGGTGTCTGATTAGTTTGGTTTGGAGCTCAGATTTTTCCCCTCTTTGTTTGTTGTTGGGGGGTGGTTTTTTGTTTGGGGCTTTTTTTTTTTTTTTTTTTTTTTTTTTTTTTTTTTAAGGTTTATGGTAAAGACTAAAAATAAAAAAGTCTCTGAATGGAAAAATCAGCCTAAGTCTGATGTGATGAAATGGAACAGCAACTCAGTGACATGTCTGATAGCAGAAGAGACACCACTGCAGCCAACTTCTGGAATCAGACGATCCCAAGGGAGGGGAAAAGAAAAGAGTGATTAACTTTTAAATATGTGTTGCTCTGTACTGCTATTGGCATACGTGTGGGCTGGGGAGGTGGTCTTCAGCCTGTGCTGGAGGGATGGGGGCAGCCGATGTAAATGCGTGGTTTATGTTACACACGTAACGAGAAGGAGAGAGCGAGAGCACAAGAGCACACATTACAGCCCATTGTAAAAGCTCTGTTTATGAATCAGCTCCCAGCTGGAGGGTGGGCTGCTGGGGGTTTATGGACATCCAGGGATAATGTGTCCACCAGAGCTGGGTGTGCCTGGAGCTCCCTGATGGGAGAGATCGGGGAGTGGGTACCGCAGAACTGATTTTCTAAGCTGGCACTGGGAGATGGAAGGCAAGGGGGAGGGGGGAATAAACTATGTATGTCCTGATGTCTCTCACCAAAGCAAGCTAAAGCTGCTGTTTGGAAATGGTTGTGTCCGGGAAGAAGCGTGAATTTCCCCCCTGTTCTTGGTGCAAACGGTTGAGTGATGGCTGGACATGTTTTGAATAGCTAAGTGACTTCATTGAGCGATGGTCTATTTGACGCATACTGCATTTAGTGCCCTTTGTCAACCCAAACTGCTGCCTTTTAACATATCCTGCAGAGGAGCTCTATGCTGAATACTATATGCTGTCTCCATGCCAGAAAATCAATAGCAGTAAATTAATGGGGGATATTTTAAACACACTCGCTCACACACACGCACACATTTCCTCCAAACAGATAAATATATAGAGGTATATATTAAAAAAATGGAAATCCTTTCAAATAGCTATTCATTACAACCAGGGGAGGAGACCTGTCCTTAATTAAAAATTAATGATAGAGGGAAGGCAAATTAAAAAAAAAAAAAAAAAAAAAAAAAAAAAAAAGGAAGCCCAAATGCAAAGCCATGCAAGGAAGGGAGGCTGCGGGTAAGAACTCCCTTCCTGAGCCATGTCCCCAAGCTGGAGAGTGGAGGGAGGCTGGGGTGGAGACAGGAGGTATAAGGACCCTGGCCAGGAGAGGCAGTGGATTCAGATCATGTCTATCTGCCCAAAGAGCTGTACCCACAGGGACATGGTCTGAGGGGGAGGAGGAAGGGGCAGGTAGGGCATAAGGCTTGTCAGATCGGAGGAGCTTGGGCCTCCTTCTCCTTCACATCTGACAGGATCCCACAGGTACTGTGGAGAAATGGTTTGCATGGCAAAGAAAAGTGCCAGGATGCTGCCAATTAAAAGCTCCAAAGTGTTCCCAGCCCCCTCAATGCCATGCTGCCAGCCCAGTCCCTCTGCCCTCCCTGTTGATGGTCTCCAGCAGGCTCAAACTGCAGCCCTGCACAAGGGGTGTGAAATGCAGCCTGAGCACAAGCTGCACGTCCCTGGCAGGGTGTTCTCATTTGTCCCAGCTTTGTGAGGGTTAGGCTGACCCATTCCCCCAGCCCCTGGATGCTGGGCAGAAGTGGTGAGTGGGTTAGGAGGGTGTAATGCACCACACAGGAGCTGAGCCCAACTCTGAGTCCCTAGCCTGAGGGCAGAGGTTGCACCAAAACTTGGAGAAAGACTTGGTAGCATGGTAGCACGGGCCTCTCAGCTGGAGGCAAAACCAGCCCTACGGGTCCGTGCTGAGCAGGGTCTGGGCATGGGTTTGCCTCATGGGGTGGCACAGCACCAGTCTGGCACCACCGCCACTGGGATGCCTCCACTTGGCTTCCCGCAGCCCCACAGCCCACATGGGCTAGCGACCGGCACTCTTTTGCTCCCAGGACAGCACAGACAAATATCCCCAACAGCCCCTGGACAGCAGGCCTCTTACTGTCATGTCTGATCACCTTAGATGGAGTTATCTTATTTCTCGGCAGCAGAAATCAGAAAGGTGTCCCTGATTGACTCGCTCTCCCTGGTGAGAGCTGCCTGCTGGTGAGTGGGAGGGAGAAGGGTGCAGCAAAGTCTTCTTTCCCCCATGATGCAGAGGGTTGCCAGGTTTGTGGAGAGAAGGTCTTGGTCCCAGGAGGCTGGGAGAAGGGCAAAATCCTTGGACTTTGCTTACACTGTGTCCATGGTGTGGCACAGTCACCTGACAAAGGGTCTGGGACAAACAAGCTTCTGCTGCCTGGGGTGGGTGTCAGGGCAGGTATATAGGGTGATGGGAGGTAGAGAAGAGGAGAGCAGAAGGCTTTATAACAAGAAAATAATCAAAGAAGAGCCCAAACTGCCTCCTACTACTGGTAGGAAACCTCTGACAAGGTTGCCTTCATTTCTGGGGATGTGGGGGAATGCTGGCATTAGTCAACACTGTAGGCTGTCAGAGATGGTGGACTCCTCGTGTTCAAAATATTGTGCTAAATTGTCTTTTCTCGGCCAAGAAATCCAGCAGCAAAAATGGACATGGGGACTTAGTCTTGGGCTGTACACACAGATATGCTGCAGTCAGAACTGCAAGTTCCTGTTGGAGAACTTGGTCCCCAGGCTTCCAATTTTCAGATTCCCCTCTCTTCAGTCATTCTGTTCCCCACGGTTTACTTACAGTTAGCATTTCAGATCTTTGTATTACTCCAAAGAGGAGTGTCATTTGGGATATTCCTTCTCTAATTGGTATTTCTTTTCTCCCTTTCTTGTGTCCTACAGTGAGCCCCTGCTCCACGCTGGGGCTAAAGCAGAAAGGTGGTGTTGGTTCACATTACTGCAGATTAGACTTCTGATTTTTTTCCTAATCTTCCTTGAGATAATTCTTTCTCAGGCTTTGGGGTTGGACAGATACGTCCCTGGGCCTTTGAAAAATCTTTGCCCCTCAAGGAAAATGGCCTTTCTCAGCCCTTTAACTGCGTAGGTACAAAACACACACGTACACCAAGCAATTGAGATCTGCAGGCTCATGCCACACATGGATACTGCACCTCTTACAACTTTGAAATGGCTGCAGATCTTCCAGCCTAATTCCTTCTTGGAACTGAATGCTTTAAAACCACTTTTTATTATGACTGATGCCTTGTCTAATTCTTTCATTAGCTCCTGTAGATCTCCTGCAGGATCTCAAAAGTGAGCAACGATGACTTATCAGGGTCTTATGAAGCAAGCAAATGAAATGTATTTTACATCTGTAGGTTATTGGTTTTGTCATGTTGTCATTATTATTAGGAAAGGGATAGGTCTGGGAGGTTTTATACCAAGAAGGAGGGAGAGAGGAGTCCAGGGCAGGCAGGCATGAGTGATGCGCATGGGGTTAGACATCCCTGTAGATCTGACTGGTGTGAAGGCAAGTAATTGAATGAATGTTGGTGCAGAAAATAATTCCTGCCTAGAGACCCTTCCCAAGGAAAATTAATGAGCTGATCTGTTCCCTTTCCAGCTTGTTATATCTGAACAGCACATGAGAGTTAAGTGCAGTTCCAGTGTTCGCAAAAATGAAGAGCTGACAGTGAGGCAAGGCACTGGCAGTGGACAAGCTCCTGCCAGACAATTCTTGAGCTGCATCACCTCCTCATGCTGCCTTCTCCCACTGCTGTTTGCTCCTGGGCCACCTCTTTCCCTTCATGCTCATCTTAAGTGGTTTTTTCCTCATCTTCCCTCTTACCTTTCCCTATTTCCTTTCTTTTACCCTTCGTTTCTGTCAACATCCCTAGTTTTGAACTGCAGAATTGCCTGCCGTCCTACTTCCAAGGATCCACAAATCTACCAGAGGTCCTTTCCCCTGACTCTTACTGTCCTAATCCGGGAGCTTTTCCGAACATTCAGTGAAATAGCAGTAGATTAAGTTAGGGTCTCCATGTCTTTGTGGTTCAGGACCAGGAGCAGCCTAGCACAGCCCTGAGATGCAGCAGGAAGCATTGGCCCGGCACATAGCTGATTGCTGCTGGCATTGCAACTGCCAGGGAGAAGGAGGATGAAGAGCTGGACAGGCCTTGGATGAAGAGGAAGATAAAGGATTTTAAAAAGTGGGGTGGCAGATGGTGAGGAAGAATTACTTGGGATCCCAAAGTTGGGTGGGTTTGGTTCTTCTCTCATCTTAAATACACACCTGACTGTAAGTCACTGAAAAGGCAAGGGTTTGAGGGTC